CCCCCTTACATCAGTGTCCCCAAAGCTCCCCGTTTACATCAGTCTCCCATCACATTAAAGTCCCCAGAGTTCCCCCCTTACATCAGCGTCCCCAGAGTTCCCACCTTACATCAGCACTCCCAGAGTCCTCCTCACATCAGTGCCTCCAGAGTCCCCTCATACATGATAGTGCCCAGAGCTCCCCCTTACAAGATAGTCCCCAGAGCTCCCCCTTACATCAGTGTCGCCAGAACCCCCCTTACATCAGAGACCCCTCTTACATAAGCATCCCCAGGGACTCCCCTTATATCAGTGTCACCGGAGCCCACCTTAGATCCCTCTTACATTAATGTCCCCAGAGTCCCCCCTCACATCCATGTCCCCAGGGTTCCCCTTACTTTGGCATCCCCAGATGTAATGGCTAATGGGGGTTGTCGTAAATGCGCCTGCGGAGAGTCTTCGACATCTTTCCGACGTAGAACGCCCCGCAGGCACAAGTCATCCCATTGTGCCACAATTCACATAATAATTAGCTATTCATTTTTTACCATTCGGGGCTGTAATCTCACTGGACTGACTTACACAGGAACACTGATAACAGCTATTGCACTTAAAGGTTCCTCTCTGATTGCTGCGGCAATCAGGAGAGTCCTCATGGAAGAAACTATGAACAATTGAATCTCAAAAAGATTTTGAACGACGAAATATTAATTCTGGTGTCTCTTTCCCATATTTCCTCACGGTGGCATCTTTCATTAAAAGCATGTTTGTTGTTTGGGGGCGTAGCCAACAGCCGAGGGAGATGGTCGCATACTAGAGGAGCTCCGGTACCAGTGTATTCCTGGGGCTAGATTCTGTGCACAGAGGATCTTCTTTTGGTCCCTTACCTCCTTGTCTGTTCCCGGAGTCCTTTCTGCATGATGGGGAAGCGCACAGCGAAATGAGGACCGTTTTTTTTTCCAAACGGCAGGCTCGCCAAAGAAACAAGATGGTGCTGGTTTGTCACGTGCCTCTCCTTCTCTGGCTCTGTCCGAAGGCCAGAATGAACACAAAACGAATGCTGCCGCTCCCTCTGGTTGCTGCGCCGGCTCTTCTCCCAACGCACGCCCGGCGAAGTCGAAGCCTACACGTGACTCTGCAGAATCCTAGGTACACTCTGATACTGTTGACGATGACACTAGGGAACTGATCGAATCTATTGATGATTACCCTACTAAAGATCGCCCTTTAATGGACACTACAATGAAAGACATGCTTGTCTCTCTACGTAGCTCCCTCCTTATGGATATGCTCTCAGCTTTACAACAACTCAAGGGGGAAGTTAATGCCCCAGGTGACAGGGTCAGCCATATCGAAGACAAAATGGGGGACTATGCTGAAGCTCACAATGATCTTGTGGACGCCCACAGGGATAATGAGACCACTGATACTACTACTATTCTCTTTACCTCATAAGAAATCTACTGTATTTCCAAATGGCTTATTATAGAAAACTGGTATGATTATGTGGCGATGTGTACACCCCAGCGAGCGTGACTTCACCTTTTTTTCCACCCCTCATAAATCTTACTCTAGAATCTTTTTCTGTCTGACCAATGGTTGCTCCAAAAAGTAAGCAAGATTACTATACATATTATCTCATGGTCGAACCATGCCCCTATTACGATGACCATAGAACAGTCGGCACCACTGTGGCGGAATAATGTGTCTATCCTCTCTATCCCCAAACATTTTTGCTACAGAAATTATAAGAATATTTCTCTTTGAATGCTACTTCCAACGTGAGTCCTTCTACTCTCCGATGTGCACACAAGGCCCTTGTTCGTGGTGTTCTCATTCAGTTAGGTACAAGAGAAAAGAGGAAGAAGACGCAGCATTACAAAGCTCTGTTTTGCTAACTTGAAAACCTTAGAGACTTCTCATAAACACACTTTAGACACCATTACTTACACTGCATTACTACAAACGAGACATGAACTGAAATCCTTGTTGTTATCTGAATATGACTATAGAATGTCCAGACTTAAGACTATAATACCTTCAAAACAATAGAGCTAGTAAATTGTTGGCGGCTAGACTTAAGAATAGGCGATCCAATCCTAAGATATCCTTGTTGTACCACCCTGTTACTAATCTACCGCTGCGGAATCCTAAAGATATAGCGGGTGCTATTGCCCACTACTATGAATCTCTTTATAATTTACATAAGGATCCGAAAGTACCACAATCTACTGGATTCTAGTCCATTACCGACTCTTTCACAGTCCGATCGTTTTTCCTTATCTGCCTCTTTTACTTTAGAAGAAATTTAAAAAGTAATCAAATCTCTCCCTTCCCATAAGTCTGCTGGGGTTGATGGATATACAGGTGAATATTATAAGTGCTTTTTGGACACCATATTTTTTTCCAATGTTTAATCTCCCTGGCGGTCTGATTATCTCAGTATTTTTTAAGGGGTTTTCTTCTATTTTGTTTTTTCTTTCTATTTTTTACTTTTGAATTTCCCGCTGGTTTCGCCCCCCCCTGCAACGCCGGCGCTCGCAGGGAAGGAACCCGGAAGACTGATGCCGGCAACGGCCGGAGGACACAGCGGGGCTCGTAGGGACAAGTTAAGTGACACTACAGTGTAATCCCGAGTGTGGCTCGGGGTTACCACTTTTGGTACTGAAAATTAACCCCAAGCCACACTCGGGATTACCGCGAGGAAGGTCAATGACATTATATCCTCTGGATCCTTCCCTTCTGAGATGCTCAGAGAGATCATCCTGGCCTTGCCAAAACCAGGGAAGGAGCCCATTCACCCGCAAAATTTTAGACCCATATCGCTCCTTAATACGGATATAAAGATATATGTTAAAATGGATAGCCAACCGTATGCAGGGATTAGTCGGGGCCCTTCTCTAATCCTAGCGATAGACACGGAGACGGCATTCGATAGGATCCACTGGGAGTATCTATCCCTTACGCTGAGGTGCTTCAGACTCGATGGTCCTTTATTGTCTGCCATTTTAGCACTTTACTCCTACCCTACTGCACAGGTGTAATCCTCTAGGATGATGTAACACACCTTCGGTATCTCGAATGGCACCCGACAGGGCTGCCCTCTGTCACAGATTATATTTTTTCTACTTATAGAACCGTTAGCTATTGCTATCAGGAAAATAACCCTAACATTTGTGGTATTTTAGTTGTTGATGTCGAGCATAAATTGGGCCTATTTGTGGATGATATTGTCCTTACATTAACATCTCCTGCTTCTTCCTTAGTTGAGGCACTGAAACTTCTTTGTTCTATTTGTATCCATCTCATATTATAAAAGAAATGAGGGGAAATCTCAAATTCTTGCCATAGGGTTCTCCCAACTGGATAGATCTCTCCTACAAACACGATTTCCTTTTACATGGGCAAATTATTGTATTACCTATCTTGGCATAGCCATTACTCCCACTGTATCCATTCTTTATGAATGCAGTTATGAACCCCTCTTACAGAAAGTTCAAAGTAAACTTACCTTGATCCAGAAGTTTGAATTATCCTGGATGGGAAGAGTCGCGGCATTTGAGATGAGCGTCCTTCCGAAAATGTCATATTATTTCTGCACTCTCCCCATCCCTATTCCAAACAATTTTTTCATACGTATCCAATCTGTGGTTAATTCTTATATATTGAAGTGGAAACGAAGCAGAATTGCTAAATCTATATCGTGGAAGCACACGTCGATTGGGGTTATAGGTCTTCCTAATTTGAAAGACTATTATAGGGCTACTGTTCTCACACAACTCAGAACTTGTTTAAAGATTCATGTAAACTGTGGTATGGCTTGGAGAGTTCTATTTTACCTGGGGGTGACCTACTGGTCTGGCTAGTGGCTGCGTCCATGAAACCTAGCCTTTGCTTAGTGGACCATTGTACTATACACGCTTAATTTCAAGTGTGGAGATCCATCCTTCTAAATGATAAAAGCTCCTCACCGTCTTTTAATGTTACTGTACCTTTAAAAGATTATGAACTATTAATTCCGCACCTCAATCTCAACTCTTGGAGACAACAAGGTTATCTAACACTACCGCCCCTAGAGATTATAGCAACATTTATGGATAGCTACAGGCTCTCTAAGTCATTTCTTAACAGATCAGTCTACAGTAGCCTGAAGTCTGACTGGATGCAATGGGTTGCCTTTTATCAAATAATTTCCACCAATAAAATCTATACATTTTACATACATCTCTGAAACAGGAATGCTTACCTGTGACTTTCCTCCAGCCCCATCCACTGCCAAAGTAACAGAGAGAGCACAGCAAATCACATGGATAAAGAAAAATGAACCAAAGAAGTTACTACAGCCGAGGGCCAACATTTCCTAAAAGAAAAGTATTGCTTGTGTTCAGCACACATTTTAAAGATTAATTACAAATGGGACACTAGTCATTAGTGTCTACAATTATTGATAAATTGGAAATTCTTTCATGTATTTATTATATTTTCCAGTCACAGAGTGTGATAAAATTATACATTACTCATCAGACTGTATTCATGTTTGATAATAGCTCTATTTCTGCACTTATAGTGGCCTCAGCGATCCTCCAGCAGTACCAGATTTTCCACACTCTCAGGGGCTGCTCCTCAGGGATTTCCAAAACACATGTAAAAAGAACACCTCAATGTGTAGAACCGTTTATTAATAAAAAATGTAAAATCAAATAAATATACTCACAAAAGCAAGATTCAGAACACCTTATTGTACAAGGAATCTGTAGAACCACTACACTGATAGCCATGAGGAGAATCTCATCCCTGGCACAGTTTACAACATCCGCCGGTCACAACAGTATCGGCGTGGGCCGCTGTAGGCTTCAGCTGACTCGTTTCTTTGGCACGCCCCCTTCCTCAGAGCCATGTTGGCATACCCTGTGAATGCATCAGCCGAAGCCTACAGTGGCAGGCGCTGATATTGTTGTGACCAGCGGCTGTTGTAAGCTATGCCAGGGATGAGATTCTCTTTATGACAGTCATTGTGGCGGTTCTACAGATTCCTTGTACAATAACACATTCTGAATCTTGCTTTTGCGAGTATATTTATTTGATTTTACATTATTAATAAATGCTTCTACACATGGAGGTGGTGCTCTGTCTTTGTGCTGTATTTAGTATTCATGTTTGGCCTTTCTAAATTCAGTGCCTTTAAAGTTATGGATAAATGCCACACTGGCATTTTCCTTCCATTCCTGAGAAAATGTCACACTGTCCTGGTATCAGTGCTGGATTTTCCCCACTTGTCCAGTTTCCGTGTCAGATTTCCCCCTCTGTCCTAGGTGCTTGGCTGTCAGCCTATGTGAATTTACAGAACTGCAGCTAATCTTCACTCGTCCTTCCCTATTTAGGTACAGCTCACTTGTTGCTCTGGGTTTGAGCAACAAGTCTGCTTTCTCCTGCTGGATCCTCCCGTGTGTCTTGTTATTTTAGTTAGAGTTTCTGGAGTCATTCCTGTATCCCTTGTTCCCCTGGATTCTTCATGTACCCCCTATGGTTTACCTGCTTGGCTGTTACCCTCCTTGCTGTTCTTTGTGCCCCTGCTTACTCTCATCCCTCGTTGTTCCCTGTGGTAGTGCTGTGCATTCACCTGTGAGATGTTAGTGGCCATACTTGTCTGTCCACTGATTGCTATTCACTTTTGTGTGCCCTCTCTGCAATGCAGTGTGTCTGCTTTCCCTATCTGCCCTGCTCTCCCTGAGTCACATGTGCTGAGTTCCTTGTTGTTGCACTGTGCCTTCATTTTAGGTATCCCCCTGTATGCCCATCCTCACTCCCTGGGAGCCTTCTCCTCCCTTCCTTCCGGCTTCCATGTGTGTATTTCCTTTACAGCTCACTTCTGTATTCACACAGTCCATGTGTGTATCTGCTTCTCTGCCCTACACCTTTGTATAACACATGTTCCTAGTGTTAGACTCATTACTTGTGCCCTGTGTTCCTTGTATGCACGTCTCCTGCACGTCATTCCTCAGTGTATTCTGTACTATAAACTTTCCCTTTGTTCTATTGTGCATCCTGTATCAAGTCTGTCTGCATCCGTTGCTACCTTTCCACACATCTAGTGTACAGTCTATTGCTCACTACACTACTACTACTACACTACTCACTGCTGCACTTGCCACTAAATCCTGTATCCTAGTGGTGTACTGTCTTGGACTCCTGCATAGTTCCTGTTGCACCTCTGTCAGCTGTGTCTGCATGGGTGTGTTGAAGGGCTCTAACCTGGGAGCTGCCCTGTCACACACCATCCTCAACATCAGAGAAGACCAGGCTCTCTTTAGACCCTGCGCCTATCGCACACCCACTTTTTCTGTGCACTCTGTTACTGGTTCCTTGAATTTAGCATAACTTGTGTCCTTTCACTCCCCACGACCTGTGTCCTAGGCCTGTTCACTGTTCTGGACTGCTCTGCAAAACCTGGCGCTCACAATCCCTAGTTCCCCACTTTCCAGATTGTGGCAGAAATACTACAGTAAATATATGCAAAGAAAGAGGGTACAAAAGACATTCCCTACATTTACCCACTTTGCATGTAGTTCTGGTGTCATGGTTTGTACCAAGTGTGACAATGATGTAAATTTGGATGGCATTTGAATGAGACAAGGATTAACACTAATGTTGATTTAATGTGTGAGATATCTTCTGAGTTCTGACACATTACATGTGTTGAGGACAGTCTCTCCACTTTGAAAGTCAAACACTGGCTTTATACATATCTGCATTCAGCATACATTAATTTTAACTCAATGGTTAAAAATGTTGTACATTTAAGAATCTTAAGCAAATCTTTCATGGTAGACAGCATAAGATCTATATCTCAGAAACAGAATTCTTGATAGAGCTTTAGCTTTAGGGTTACAAGGATAATTTTCTGCAGTTAAAGCTATTGTCTGGTACCTTTTGGTCCCTAATTATGTAGCTATGTGCTTAGTCTACTAACATTTAGAGGGGGTGGCAGTTTGTTTTAATTCATTATTAACCAAATGCTCTATTTGAGTTGTCATCTGTTACTCATTAACAGAAACTGTTACAAACAGAAACTTTTATTCAAACTTAATTATTTATTTGCCCATGCAGGGAAATGTGGAAAGGTCACTTAACTCCCCTCCATACCCAGCAACACATGCTCACCTTTTTTATTCCTTTGCTGCTCTGTTCAACTGTACTGGAGGAGGAAAGCCCTGTGTAAGCTCCCCACCATCCCATCTTGTCAGAGCTTACACATAGCTATGGACCAGTTCCAGGCCCCATGTGACAGTTGTACAGTATGTTCACCCAGGAGTGCTAGTTACTTAATTTCTCTCCTTGGGGGGTGGTGCAAACTGAGTGGTAGGGGAGTTAAGTGACATCTCCCTTGCCTTGCAGGACCCTGTTAAGTGAAAGGGACTCATTATCACATTATCACACAGTTGTGTGTTATATTGCTATACAATATTGTTCATTATAATAGTAAAGAATTCATAGAAATGCTATTATATGTAAATTGCTGATCTGTAATACAAGTCCACTTTCCAAATAAAGTAGAAACCTTTTCACCAACAGAGTAACATCAATATGCAATTACTTATAACAAGCCATGTGATTCTAGCTTTTAGAAATCCTGTGCATGCAAAAAGAGAAGATAATTTGAAAATGTTCCTTTGCAATTTGTTTTGCAATGTACTCATAAAGTGGGATAAGGTTAACTGTGGCTTACCAGCCACTATGAAACTGAAGATGTGGTATGTTAAACTGCCAGTCTGTAAGACCACAGGCTGTATCCCCCTTTTTTTTTTTTTACTACATTGCATGTCAAAGAGCCTTGGACAAACTAATAAAGATTGGTACTGCAGAAGTCTAACCTGGTTTGCGTCAACATCGTAACCATGTCTTGCTCCTAAGGTCCTGCCCATGGCAAGGTTAATCACGTAGCCAACAATAGCTAGGGAGAATGCTGTGCCAAACATTTCTCCCCACTGACTGACTTGCGGTAAGGTAGGAGCCGGAAATCTGCAAGTTAGGCAAGTATATTATTGTTACAACAGCTTTCCCATGCTACTTTTTAATTTTATTTGATGCATTTATATCTTTCTTAACGTATAATATACTTTTAACAATAATAAACTTTTTTTGTTTAATGTAATATAGTCACAGGCTTATAAGCGGTGGGCTTACAAGCCTGTGACTATATTACATTAAACAAAAAAAAAGTTTTTATGTTCTTTTTATTACTTAAAGTGACATTAAACCCTCAGATTTGTTAACATAAACCAATACTGTAATGTGCGCCTTACTGTAATCCATGGTTATTTCCCTTCTCTTTGCTGCTCTTCCTTTTAACTCTGTATCTCTTCTCATGCTCAGCAGAACTTCTGTTTTGCAGCAGACTGCCTTGTCTCTGGAATGGATACATGATGTCTGTGTGTAGGTTTGCAACCTGAGCCAGCACTACAGGAAGAGGCACTCAGCTGCAAAGGGAAGTTCTCCCCAAGCATGAGAAGAGATAAGGATTTAAAAGGAAGAGCAGCAAAGAGAAGGGAAACTACCATGGATTACAGTAAGACGCACATTACAGTATTGGTTTATTATATTATTGTTACAACAGCTTTCCCATGCTACTTTTTAATTTTATTTGATGCATTTATATCTTTCTTAACGTATAATATACTTTTAACAATAATAAACTTTTTTTGTTTAATGTAATATAGTCACAGGCTTATAAGCGGTGGGCTTACAAGCCTGTGACTATATTACATTAAACAAAAAAAAAGTTTTTATGTTCTTTTTATTACTTAAAGTGACATTAAACCCTCAGATTTGTTAACATAAACCAATACTGTAATGTGCGCCTTACTGTAATCCATGGTTATTTCCCTTCTCTTTGCTGCTCTTCCTTTTAACTCTGTATCTCTTCTCATGCTCAGCAGAACTTCTGTTTTGCAGCAGACTGCCTTGTCTCTGGAATGGATACATGATGTCTGTGTGTAGGTTTGCAACCTGAGCCAGCACTACAGGAAGAGGCACTCAGCTGCAAAGGGAAGTTCTCCCCAAGCATGAGAAGAGATAAGGATTTAAAAGGAAGAGCAGCAAAGAGAAGGGAAACTACCATGGATTACAGTAAGACGCACATTACAGTATTGGTTTATGTTAAAAAATCTGAGGGTTTAATGTCACTTTAACTTAATTGCTAGGGGTAATAAGTTTAAAGAAAATTAATTTAAGTAAAATAAATGTAAAAATATGTCCCCAAAGTCCCTCGTCCCCATGAACACATGCATACTAGTGCAAACATGTGTTGGGTACACACACTTAAGAAAATAACAATTGCGCTACACATGTTAGATATTGCCGTGTGTGCCAGAGTGAGAGCAAAAATTATAGGGCCATGATTTATGGTTAACCCTAAACTGATGGTCTGTACAGGCTTTTAAAGATTTGCCTATGGAAAGTTTGGGATACTGTACTTTTTCACTGTTTTATGGGTACACAAAATTTTAAAGCTTGGCATGTTGGGTATTTATTTATTCGACACAACCTCATCTTTTATATTGTACACAAAATTGGGTATTGTATTGTGTTTTTGTGCACTAAAATTAACTTGTGTATTTTGTACTGAAATTTTGGGTTTGATAGTTGTGCTAATATCATGTGACATAGAAGTTTGCACTTGCCACCATTTTATTCTACAAGGTCTCTACTTCCAGGAAATAAATAATTCTGTGGGGGGGGGGGGTTAATTAATTTGTAGGCCTAAAATGTGTGCAAACCCCCCCACACACACTCACAAAAACGGATCTGGCAGTGAAAGGGTTAAGTTGCATGTACTGTTATGGAACAGTACAATTCTCACAAACAGCATCAGCATCACTATATTCTGGCATCACATATTTTGCATGTGTAACTGATTTTTTAAGTTTTATTTTATTGCTAGGCTTAAAGGAAAGTTCCACTCCACTTAAAAAAAAATAATATAGGATATAAAATTGTTACAGAAGCCATTTTGTATTTTAATGTTACTTAAAACTACATTTCCATTTCCATATGAAGTCCCTAAAAATTACTAAAACTCTTAAGAAACAATCCATGTTTATAAGGCAACCTGAAAGCATTCTGTACAATACTGGTATATGGAATGCCCCTAGAAATGTCAAATTATCTGCTTGTGTGATTGGCTCGCTGATTTTCTCAGATGTTAACACTACCTGGGCATACGCAATATGCGCGTTTGCCGCGCGTTTCGTGCCACGCATTTTTACAGTGACTTGCGGTAAAAGAAACGCGTGACAAACGTGCGTTTACGAGGGCTATAAGGCTGTATCCTAATGGATACACGCGGAAAACACGCCCCAAAGAAGCTCCTGTACTTCTTTGGACGTAGGGTGTTTACGCCCAGGTGGGAACCATGCCCACAGGCAATTATTGGTTTTCACATGCTGAGCGTTTTACAGCGCGTCTACGCACTGTAAAACACCCAGGTGTGTACCAGGCCTAAGATACAAGCAACATTTTAGGCATCCCTAGCAAGTATGTTATCCAATAGAATGCTGGAGAGCCACATTAGGGTCTCCACACATAATCAACATGATTCAATATACCTAAATAAAGGTGCAAAAAAAGGGCCCTGCTTAGTGTGTGGGGCGTAATACGCCACTATAGTAGGTAAAACATCTCCCAAGAGCTCCCTAAGTATCAAATAACGGCCTTCCGCTTTTGATATTTCAGAGTGGCATGTAAATGTTATAGACCTCCCAAAATCTATTACAACTCCACGCGGTATAGTCTTGGCATTTGCCAAGATTTGGGGGTAGTTTGCAGAAAAATATCTAGGGCAAGAGCTTTACTAAAGTGGGTCGCTTGTAAACATACAATGTCTGTCGGTATGGACTGGAAAAAACGGAAAGCCTTATTCCGTTTTACGTGGGGAGTTAACCCCCTGTATATTAAGGCCTGGTCCACACCCAGGCGACAGCGTTTTTGCATGTCTTAACATGCGTTTGTGATGCACGTTTTTGCGCCTTTTATGCGCATACAGCAAAAAGTCCGTTTTTGTGAGCTGATTGTTGCTCATTGATGTTAATGAGAAAAAGCGCATAAAAACGTGCAAAAACACAGCAAACTGGCATTTTCAAACATTTCCCATTGAGTCTATGGAGCCAAAACGAGCTGTAATATGGCAAAAAAAAGCTCCTGTACTTTTCCTAGCTATAGGCATTTTGCTTATTGTAACAAAATGATCAGATGTGAACAGAGCCATAGAAATGAATAGGATTTTTGGGGGGGCAGATTTTTGAAGCGTTTTTATAGGGCATTGTGAACCAGAACTTAAGGTTATAAGCTTCATAACTTAAAAAAGGAAAAATTGCTACCAACTTTCTGCTTTGCTATCAATTGTTGGGAGCTCCCCAATACCCTGGGGGGGAGGGAAAGGAAGGAAGGAGAGAGAGAGAAAAAACAACCCCCACACCACACATTCACTACCTCATTCTTCAAAAATCCATTCAGCCATAATACACTTTGCCACCCATCCCAATGTGTCCCTCCAACTAGTTCTAAATTGTAAACCAGCCTGTGTGGCAACACACCTTTGTGGGGAGGACAAGCCTGTGCAACTGTGAGAGAAACATTTGGGACTAGTCTTGGAAACAAAGAGGACCAGTGGGTCAAAGAGGCAAAACGCTAAAGGTAAAAGCCAAGAAGCTTTATCTGTGTTTTCGTTGCTAGTACTGTGGATACTTTATGTTTGGAAACCCCTGCGAGGGAAAACCGGTGTGGACTTTTTTTTGTTTGATTCAATACAAGTGGGCAAAGAAGACCTTAAAAAGAAGTAAGTGAGTGGAAGTGTCCTTAATGTGCTACCATTTTAAGCTAATTCTCACAATGCAAAAAAAGAGAGTTTAATTATACTTTAATTCTTTCCATACTGAAAAAGAAAAAAGAAAGCAGCTATGTGATAGCAAGCAGTGATAAATACCACTATCCCCAATCCGTGATACTTTCTTAATTGTTTCCTCATAACCAGCTCCCAATGAGCATATCCCTTCATTAAATCCATTGTTCCCCCTCATCAAAACCTTTAGAACCTGTTGGTAGTGAGTACAAATTTGTGTCCAACTATAGATTAAGAAACTATAGACCCCTGATATCTCCCCAGAGCCCCCGACAGTAAAGTTAAAAAATAAATAAATAAAGTTTCAGCAGAAAATATTTTTTATTTTTGGTTTCGGTCTGAAAATTCAATTTCGGTGCACCTCTAGTGAACAAGAACACGTAAAAAATATATGAAAGAATTTTCTCAAATTTGTCTGCAAAAAGGTTAGCAGGAGTTCCTCTTAGGGCTGCATATCTAAATAGCCAACATAAGCTTAGGGTGGCAGGTCTACCAAGGGTGGTATACAATCACCCACACATCATGTCAGTAACACATAACCATGTATAATAAATGGTTCCAAACTGCCTCCTTGACTGCCAGTGCAATCCAAAAGGTTCCTTATTGTTGGCCTCAGCCCTCAGTGTACCCATGATGTCTGATCTTATAAGTATTATA